ATGGTGTAGTATGAGCTATATTTTTATAAAAAACTATCGAAAATATATAGCTCTAAGTGAAGGGCAGTCTTCTAACAAAACTTCTAGGTGCTCATTTACAAACGGCGATTTTTGTTGCCGCAACTCGACGTTTGTAGGAGAGAGCGTGACGAGGAAAGGAGAGGGGCACCGAGTTGCTCGTGCTCGGGCAACACGCTTTGTGCTCTCATTCGTCTGTGTAAAGCTCGGAACACTTTGACGACTGCAACTTCACGACGTAACGACAGCGACATCATTTTGTCGACAAATGTCGCCTTGAAGCCAGCTTCTTAAACATTTTGAAGACCTCAGCGACATAGCAAACAGCTGATTTTAAAGTTTGACATTTTGGTATATTTATTTCACAAATTGTGCATTTTTATTTAAGTAAATAAGAAAAACATGAACAATCAAGAATATGTGATTAATTTTGCGACAATTTAATTTTGCAGCACTACATCTACTCATTGTCGCCGGCAAAATTAGAAATAGATTTAATTTGGCGACGTCGACAATTGCAGTCCTGCAGCCAAGATGTCGTGCTGTCGTCAAAATAATTGTGTCCGTAAGAACGTGTGTATTTAAAATTTGACAGATGCTGCTTGTCGCTTGCTGTCGTCAAAGTGTTCCGAGCTTAAATTGAGTTAGCGATTCACAGCTGACAACAACAATTGCATACACAAAAATCGTCGTGTGTAAATGAAATGAGCAACACCAAAAGGGAATGTGAAAAATCGCGTCGACAAAAGTTTCCGTGTATAAACGCAGTCTAGGTGGGGATCAGTGCAAGTACCTAACGAGCGCTGAAAGAAACCCAATGCTCTGAAAAGATAAACTGAGAATGTTATTATCAAGCTAGCGGAGGAAAAAATATCAGGCTAAACGAAAAAGAAATGAAAAGTAAGGCAATTAGAATGACAAGAGCGAAAGCACCTCTACTACAGCTGCGACAAAAGGGATCTGGTGTGAAATTTAATTCCACCGCGTGAACCCCGATAGAACAGAGGCCTGTGGGTACACCCACCAGAACCGACAGACCCGGCTTTGAGAGCCTAACTGTATCGACCAAAATGGCCTCGCAGTAGCCCGTACCCTGTTTTTCCGTCATCGTTCGCTGGGCTCTCCTACGTCTCGTCTTTCCCAGAAAAGTCCACATGGTAGTCAGAGTAACTTCCAATCTCTCTTTTCATCAGCCACACAGTTTTCTGTGATGGCCTGTCACATATGCACGTCTGACAAGTAATATTCCAACTCGACCGATAGTGAATTAAGGCGTACGCGAGCCCAGTGCTCTGAGTAGATGTTCACCTCCCTCACAGGAAACCTAAAGCCTCCAGACTCCGAGACCGCCGGGCAACCAGCAAACCTAAGTCTAACAGCCGCCCTTGCTGCAGCTGTTTTACCTGCTAAATATATCAACTTAAGCTTAACGTTGAGGGTCCGATAGGACAGTGGTCTCTCAGTATACCCCCAAGGATAGAGATACCCCGCCTACTGATTTCTCCAGTGCGTTCCGCCAGAATGGGATTAACTATGGTTTCATAGTGTCAGGAAGTAATCTTGGCACATTTTACATCCTAATGAATAAAAAGGGTTTCGTTTTACTAGGACACATTTCGCAGACCATCTAGTCACCAGGTTCAAGTACTCTTGGGTTAAGTCGTATAGCGTATCTAAAAATTTGCCCGCCACCACCTACAC